GGCCACAACGCGCACGACTGACGCGGGAATCGACATTCAGCTTTGTGTTTCCACATCCTCTCGTCTGAGTCCTTCCTACGGCTTGCCGCTCGCCGTGAAAACGCACGCGCGACCTTCTGACAGTAAAGTGGCCGCCACGACAAAGCGACGCGAGTGAAAGCCGCCCTCGGTGACGCCAGATCGCACAGAAGTTCTGCCGCTGCCGCTGCCGAGCCCACGATAAGACACTGGCGCGACACCTTCCCATTGTAATTCCCTGACAAGAGCCGCTTTATATGACCTGCACTGGGGGCTCAATTTGTCCTGTAATATTTGTGTAAGATTCTCTCCACCCACCCAACCACCGGCACCGGCACCGCCACCGCCACGCAACCTCGGCAGCCGCCAAAAGTTCCAAACATCCGTCCCCTCATCCCCTCTCCGCCCCGTAGAATTACATCTTCTGGAGCTCAGCCCCCGACAGCTCCGTTTTAAAACAACCCGGGCCCTCCCCTGCTGCTGCGATGTCCAGCACGCGAGCACGCCGCTCGCACGACCTGCAAAGTCGCGGAGTGTCTCGCGCCTAATGCATCATGGGTCGGCGTGACCCCCACAGACACGAGGTGCCGCGACTTTCACCACGTAGTTTTAAAACTACGTATATTGATTATGTAACACGTAGTCGGCTTTATGTATAATAAAGGTTCTGGGGTTAGATCGCGTGAGTATAAATGTGTCGCAACCCTCCACGACCCGACACAGGCAGCAAGGTTTGTCACGTAAACTAAACGCGCCAACTAGTGACTACTCCAGCCCACCGCTGTGTTGGAGAGCAAATCCACAACTTCATCATTTGAGTACCGCGACGTTTCGCTGGTAATTACATCAACCAGCATCATCGGGCGAAACGACCAATTCTAGGCAAATGGCCCGATAATATTGGGCTGAAGTAGTAAACTAATTGGCGCGTTTTGTTTACGTGACAACCCTTACTGGCTGTGTCGGGTGGTGGAGGGTTACGACACATTTACACTCACGCGATCTGACCCAAACCCCGTGATTACGAACATTGACTCGGGTCGTGGAAGAGGCATCGCGCCACGATCGATGCAGCCGTCCCTTCTGCAGCGACTTGACACCGCGTGGGATCGCGAGCACAGTGACATCCTTGACAAACAAAACCCTCCAGGGCGCCTTCACCCCCCCGCGTGTGGTGAACCTTCCACCGCCATTAGAACCGTAGGGTTGCCTCGCACGCCGTCGCGAGCGCCGCGAGATTCACTTCGTTTGCAGGGCGACCGCAAGCGCTTGTCGCGACGCCGGAGCAGCCCGGCACGCCGACACTTGGGACCGCCGCGGGGGTCTCACGCGGGCCGGAGGGCGAAGCCGCCGCCGTCAACGGCACCGCCGCCGCCCGTCCGAAGGGGAGACGCGCCACCACACAGCGCCACCACAGCGTCACCACAGCGCCAGCACACAGCGCCACCACACAGCGCCACCACGCAGCAGCAGCAGCAGCGCCACGACGCAGCGAGGGCCGCCCGCTGCGCGTGCCACGGACTCGGCGTTCAGGCGAGCTCAGTCGAGTTGCCGTACAAACAACGAACGGAAGTGAATTTGACGGACAAGTAACGGTGAAATTGTGCAGCCCCCTCAATATCGAATTCACGCCACGGCTGGCAGACGTGCCTCGACGAGAGGGAGCTCTCGTGAGCCCGTCTCGGGGGTAAACCGAATACATCGCTACGACTTGGATGGTGGTTGGGTGGACGTGGGGCTAGAGACGCGACTGCATGCACCGGTGGCTCCTGCCGTGTTTTTGTCCAAAGGGTCCCACAGACGAAGAGAGGCGCGCGTCTGCTGCAAGCGAGAGAGGGGGGGCTGTGTGCGTGGTGGGTGCCTGGGGAGGGGGGGTTGGTCTGGCTGCAGTGGGCAAGGGGCAATCGGGGAGGGGGTGGAGGAGAGCGGCGATCCAGCGGACTGGGTCGGGTCATGGTTGGCGGCTTCGTTAAAGCTCCTGAGCCCTTCATCACGTCTTGGAGTTGGCAAATTTCACGGCCGTCAAACGATTCCTTGGAGCGACTGCCACAGCACAGCACTCGCTCCGGACACCACAACACTCGCTCCGGACAGCACAACACTCCCACCGGACACCACAACACTCCCACCACACAGCGCAACACTCCCGCCCCAGCGGAGCCATCTCCGGTGTTGACGCGTGGTATTTGGTTGCAGAGGGCAAGTGATGACCGCGCCTTTATTTCCCTTGAAGATTTTAATCGCCGCTGTTATTTGTTGTTGTTTGACTTCGGTCGATTTTTTTCAAATGAACTACAATTTCACGGCAAGATAAACGTCAGGCGGTTCTAGGGAACCTGAGTGCTTTGACGGATTAGCAGGGAAGGTCTCTCTGTTCGAGGCGGGCGAATCCAGACGATAAAACCAGACGGACATCTCAGAGAGCAGCGCACATCTCGTTAGTGTGCGTGCGCGAGAGGTTTACAGCAATACAGTATATAATTTAATGTTGGGTTTATCTATGGCAGTATATAGTACGGTATATGCTCGTGTGATGTAAGAGAATAAGGTTTAGATGGAAGCATATTATAGAATTTTTACGAGGTAGAATTGTAATGTATTACTTGCTGTTAGTAACTCAGCTTATTATAGAGTATAGTAAGTATACTGATGGTGCGATGCAGTTTATACTTTAGTTTTTTATGTAGTTTATACTTTAGTTTTCTACGTGGTTGTTGAGTAACTGCAGCTACATATCATTAACATTCCTTTCCTTTGTTACTGCTAATCCCTGCACCCCCCTTGGTTGCTGCTGATCCTGCATAATGCATGGGCATAATATGACTTTGACACCCCCCCGCCCAACGCCTACGCATTTTCCATGAATATGCTAAATTCCTCTTCACATGCACATTCTTTTTGTTAAGGCGCTCTTCAACCCCCAATGCAGCTTATATATAAGCTCCTAGTTTGGTAGTGTCTCATTCTTCACCTGAAGACGGCTGCTTGCGTTGTAGCCGAAACGTCGTGAGAATTGTTTTATTATGTTTTATTTTTATTATTTTATTACTTCCCTTCTACGTGACTTTACCGAAAGAAACAAGAAGAAGAGAATTATTCACAGGACTTCCGAAATATCCTTCCAAGTGGCATTTACATCATTCACACAGTCGCGGTGGCACCTTCCCACGTGCTTCCACGCCTTCCTACGCCTTCCCGCACCTTCCCACACCGCGACAAGATTTGTTTGATGAATGATGAGAGCGAAACCGATCTTTTTCATTCTCAGAGCGGGAATTGAGTCTAGTTAAGTGCTACTTGGTCTGTCGATATGTTTAGAGCTCGTCTTGAAACTAATCTATACAATTCTGTGCATTCAACGTGTAACTAATTCTGGCTTTGTGTTTATTTCACAATTTTCAAGCGTCTTCAGTTTTCATTTTGCACTTGTTATTGTAGTGCTGGGTATCTGCTGCTACCTTGTACAGTGATAGTCTTCAACACATGATACTAAGGTGGGTTTTTTTTCGTGCCATCATTTGGCGATTGCAACCGAGGCCATGTCTCACTCGCCACGCCTGCGAACCCGGTTCACCGCTCGCACGTCGCGTGACCCGGCCGCGATGCAGGCTCTCAGTCAGCGGCGGGACCTGTGAGCCATACGGACGTTCCGCTTCAGTATTTGTATTTCCTTCAATACATGTATTGTACAGTGGCACCTAGAGCAGGGACATCGCTTCCCAGAATGGCAGCTTGGATGTTGAACTTCTTTTGCACCGAACGTAGCCAACCGTGCTAATCGTAGGTGCCTTAGCAGTGCTCAAGACACTACTCACGGGTCCTGAGACTATTCGAATGAAACAACGTCTGTCTTGGCACAGACTTGCGCATTAGCCGATTGGAAAGGGCCTCAACAAGGGCGAACAGCTGGGAGCGGCAAGGGGAGACGGAGCGGGGCGCGGGGCCCGGCAACGGAGCGCGGCGAGTCTCGTGCCGCCGATGGTGACCGCACGGAGCCTCGCGACCGACCCCACGATCACGACAACGTTCCGCTTCGCGCCATCACGGCGGTCTGCGAGCGCGACTGTCGGACGGACGTTCTCCGGGTTCACCGACGCAACTCTGAGAGCTCTTGCGTTGCGCGTTCTCACATCGTCCTTGGCTTTTCCGGGACATCCCACTTTTTGCGGAGGTAGCGGCTGTCCTGGGAAATCTGCGAGTCCTTCCGAGCAAGAGTAATGATCATGATGATGCTACCACGCCACTCGTGACAAGCGGGCAGCGTTTCCGCTCTTCCCACGACCCGGTCCCGGCTTTTGTACCGTAGAGGTGGCAACCGCAGTGGCACAATGAGGCGACGCAACGCGTCTGTCGCGATACCTTGCCCGTCGGTCGTGGTAGTGCTGTTCCCCGTGAATGCCATCGCGGCAAGATCAACATAACTGGCTGAATCCAAGTGGTTTGATTTACACAAACATTCTTAATGCTTGAAGATGCTTAAATGCCATTTGTCACATTGCTTATCAGTGGCATTACACGTTTCATTAGTTGACATTTAAATTATTAAAAACTCATTTTATTCATTTTGTATGCATCTCAAACCCGACTTGATTGATGGCTCTCTTCTCAAAACCCACTTTCCATTTTCCTGCGAAAATCATAATCGAGGCATTTGTGCTCAGCTCCTGTTTACAGCCCCCAAGGCAGTGCTGGAAATTCCACATTCCTATGGGTGGCTTGAGTCTTCCCACAGAGCAGCCACTGTCTACTTGCTTGTACATACCTTAAAATACCAGCAAGTTATTCGATTCATCGAAATATTTCACTGGAAAAATGCGCTGAGATGGAACATCTCGTGTCCAGGATAATATTGGGATTCAAACAGTTTCTTATAGAATCTCGAGAAGAGATCACGTACTTTTATGATGAACACCAATGGCTTACTTACTGCGCGTCACAGATTCACAATGAAGAGTGAGTAGAAAAGATGACGTTGCTACATTCTCTACCACGGTAGTGAGCAATGAATCCCAACACCCTGCACTCCGATATGAAGCCACAGATGTAGCGATTGGACTGTTTTTGGTTTCGGCTTAAACTCGGCAAATTAGAAATACATTTGGCGAGTTTAAAAAGGTCAACATTTTATTAATGCAAAATAAAAAAAAACAGAGTGAACAAAATTCAGTGCAAGTAGAGCGATAATCAGCCGAGTTTGGAACCGCTCGATTTTTCTTGGCCGGCGAAAAATGTCGCTTACGAAAATGTATCGAACAAAAAAACCTCGCGCACCTACACGGAACTCAGGACCTTACTCGTGACAAATGCTACAGATGCACGACCACAGTATAAGTTACTCACTTGTCCATGGTTTCCACGCAATTCGTTAAATCAGATTCAAAATATATTCTTTATTTTTATGTAATACGTAAAAAGCTGCCAACGTTCGTTTAAAAAAAGAAACCCGCTGCCGTTTTAAATCTCGCGTTGCGTCCGTTGACGTTCGCTCTCTCCACCAAGATCTGCGTGGACAGCGTTAAACAATTATAAACAATTGAACAATTATGAACAATTATAAAATACGCGTCACTAAGGCAAGACTGGACCTTTTATGCCCCCATCCTCAGACAACCTCCATAGCGAGTGGAGGGCGGCAGACGCCACTGTCCGCTCGCGGTCCGTCGCTCAGTCCGTCTTCACATCGCTACTTCCACAGGGTACGGGTGCAAAACACTTATATGAGCGTCTTGCTGGCACTGATGGCGATTGATGATGATGATGATGCTGCCTTTGTAATGGTGCCGTAAGGTGGCCATCAGCGTGTGTTTTCCAGTCCAACAGCTGGGAGCCGTCGCTCGCTCTGCAGCCTTCTTCACACGTTTGAAACTCCCCCGTGCTCTGCTGCTCTTCCTAGATCCTCCAAGTGCATTGATCAGCAAACGGTGGGCGAGTGGCACCAGCACCCACAGTGCCGATGCTGTGGTCGTCGTCGTCGTGGTTTCTGTTTGCGTGGTCGTGACCCCCCCCCCCCCGCACCCTTCACCATCTGCGCAGACCGAACAGAGGGCCACAATGCAAGCCGCTGCATTTGTAGTTCCGCAGGGACGGTGGCGACGCGCCCGAGGACAACAGGGAATGGGATCCGCGCAAATCCTGGGCAGGAGTCGCTCCCACGTCATCAAGTGCTCGTTTCCGTTTCACTTCTCACGAAATCCACCGCGCAAGGCCAGGAGGCCTCGAAACCTTCCCCCGGTCAGTGCTCCTGCGTGACCAGTCTAAGTTTGTCCTCCCTCCGTTTGAACGGTAAGTGCGACTTTGGGTCCGTTCTCTCACACGGATGAGGATGCAGAATCGCAGTCCTTCCTGAAATGGAAACAAAAACAAAAACACGCGCCACATTATTAGCCCTTTGTCCTCCCACGGCTGGATGAACCCAATAAACAGGCAACACTCGGCCATCGGTCAGCATGGGGTTGGAACGGTTGAACCAACGTTTGCCCATGTTTACCAGGAAGGCCCCCCCCACCCCTGACAACACCCTTTGGCCATGGGGGATCTCTATATTTATGTATGTGAACTTGTTCGCATAATAGATACGTGGCCAGCCGTGCTAATCTATGACCATACTTGACCAGCGCAGGCTGGTGAAGACGGAGTTGGCCCATGGCCAGTTCAGCGATCAATCGCCACTGATAATTGGCCCTGGATGGGAATAGAACTCAAGCCGCGGGGTTCAGAGAAAAGTGTGCTCACCACCGCACCACCGCTCCTCATACACAAAAATAGTTTTGATTGACATTTTTCCAGATACTGGTTTCCTTCGCTCTACGCGAGGTCGGTTTGTGCAATTTCACGTACATGGCGCTAACCCATTAATACCCCAAATTAACTCTATGCGGTATGAATTCACTCATACGCGACTATGTGGTCGGACGTGGGACAACATTGCGTGTGTGTGTGCTGTGTGCGCTACTCGGCAAGCAGCTGTCTCGTGGGGTTTCACTTTGTGCACCTTGTTTGGAATGCATCGACCTCCTAAAGCGAGGGAAATCCGTCATTGGATTTTTAGATATTTATGACCAATATTGGATACTATTTCGTATTTCAATATGTATTATATTTCAAAAACTTTCATTGTTTATGCACTATATTTGATCATTTTAGCAATTATAAACGTGAAGTTCCACATGTAAGAGAAGCAATTTAACATCAGGTCGTTTTCCACTTTTGGCAGGAAGTTCCAACGTGACGTAGAGAAAGTATTGAACTTCTTTCGTACTGTATGTAGCCATCAAACAAAGACTGTCACTGAATCGCGTGCTTTCAGATGTCCTTTTGTGGCCGTCTGGAACGCTCTTCCTTCCGATATTATGAAGCCACTGGAGCTATGCACTTTGAAATAATCTAGATTGAAAACTAATTTCTTCAGAACTGCTATTTGTGTTTAGGTTGTTGTCCTTCCCCGCACCTCCGATTATAATATACACACATACAACCGTGCTTATCTGACGTCACTCTCTGCGACAATGCCATGGCGATGACGACGTCTCACGCGGCCTTCGGTCACGAGCACAAGCGCAATCAACGCCGTGACCTCGGCGGCCGAGATCCCGGCATCGAACTCGCGCTCACGAAAGCAGTGGGGAGGCGACTACGGCACAAACGCCCCCCCCCCCCCCCCCTGTGCAGGGCCCAAACGATGGCCACAATATGCCGCTCACTCCGCATGGCGCAGGTAAACGTCGATGGGCAGATCCGGGGATAAGAATTAAGAAGACACTTAACAAAAACATTTCATAATCTGGGCCTGATTTTCAGATTTTTTCTAAATCATTTTGAAATCGGGAGAACATCCTTATCATAAAACGTACATTAATCAAAATCATAGTTTCCTCTCAAAGGAAAAAAATACACACACACTGTAAAAGTGTTTCCCTACTGCGCAATATTTAAACTGCCATAATTAAAACAAATCTGCATTGCAGAATAAAAAAAAAGTATTCCTAGGGAATGACTCAATGCACTTTAACACCAGCCAACATCTTCGTGAGTCTGCACAATTGCGGAGCTGTATCGGCGCCACCCACCTTGGTGGCTGTGGACCGCGGCCGCGACTTTTCGCTTCCTCCCGGCCCGCTCGTTATCGGGCGCAGGCTCCCCTCGGTAGGGCGGCAGGGAGCGGCACTGCAGCACCGCCCTCCGCACCACGCGCTCGATCGAGTCCGAAATGCCGCTCGTCCCTTCAGAGTCGTCCGTGTCCCCTGCAGGGGGGAGACGTCCCCTCGAGGCGGATGCCACGGACGTCGGATCTTCGTCCCTGGGCGCTGCCACCGCCGTGGCCGCCGTGGCCGCCGCGGCCGCCGGGGAGACGTCTTCGTGGGCCTTCGGCGGCCGCCCGCGGCCCCTGTGGCCTCGCCGGTGCGCCCCGTGGATGGGGAGCTGGGTCTGGCCGATGTGACCGAGGCCGAGGCCGAGGCCGTGCGGCCGGGTCAGGGTTAGGGCCGGGCGGTCGAATTTGCCGGGTCGCCAGGTTTGGCCGCTTGCGTCGTCAATCCACTTTGCCCGGTGCGCCGCCTCCGGTCTCGCGCGGTCATCTGCCGGCGCAGAGGGAGAGGAGAGAACGCGATGGCACTGAGCGACGCGGGACTTGCAGCACACTCACCCTCCCGGGGCGTGCACAATCATCGACGCTGAGAAACTTCGCCTGTGAGCAAGTCACCCAGAATGCACCCAATCCGATCAGATCTGATAAGATAAGAAGGATTGAGCCTGCAAAATGCACGGATGAGTGACCACCATGCACGCCAGCTTGTCATAGGCAGGTTGCGGGCAGCAGAGGGCGGTGCAGAAAAATATATTGTTGTACTGTATATCTATGCTGCTCTTCTAGCAACCAGCACTGACGAGGTTGGTGAGGTGTGATTAAATAACCATAATTATGATGACCCACACAGCATGGGGAGGCTATAATTTTTCAGTGGGTTGACGAAACGGTTGTATGTGTAGATGTATGACATACGACCTTTGACCCACGTAAATAAATAAAAAACCGTGACCAAAATTGGTGGTGGAAGGCGAAGCCTTGACGAGATTTCAGGTCACTCATGCAAGGACAGTTTTGCTAAATTCATAACTTCGAAACATTCACAGGATGGGCCGATACCAGCTTGTATTCAACTATTCAAACACTCAGGGTATTTCTCTGCTATAGCAAAGCGTGGGTGCAGCAACTATCTCTGTCAGTGGTCCTGAACCAGTGGTAAAAAAAAATCCACATTCCTATGTCAGGAGACGGTCAGGTTATCGTGGCTTTTTGCAAAGAGGTACTTATTTGATCAACTTCAAAATGCGTTTCAGGGTTGAAAAATTCAGTTAATTTCCCAAAGAAGCTTGCAGCACGTGGAGGAAAAAGTCGGGACACCGTTCCTAGCAACACAACCGAAAAAAACACATCGGTAGAGAGCTGCACAGCAGGTACAAGCGCAAAAAACCTCCTCAGAGAAAATAATGAATTTGCCACAATTACTTTGGCTGGGGAGGGGCGGTTCCAAACTCAAAATCCTATGACTTGGAGCCCTGTCGCCGAGCTGGACCTTCAGCTGGACTTGAACCGCTTAGAAGGTCACACGTGACCTTTAAAGAAGCAGCGGGTAACCGAGGCTCGACGCAAGATAATCCTTGGGCTCAGGTGCCACTTTTTCCTGATGTCACGTTGCAGCCAAAGTCTATAACGGGCGGAGGCAGCTCGGTAAAAGCAGGCAACTTGCCACGGTTTGTGCAACTGTGTGGCGAAAGGAGGCGAGCGTGTGCGAGGTGATGCAACACGCTTGCTTTCGGCTGCTAAGCGGGTGCCCGCAAAGGATTAAGAAGTCATCTCGGAAAGGTTCGCTGCGGCCTCAGAAAAGCAAGGTCGAGCCGTTTGGTTTCATTGTATTATTGTCGTTAACTCAAGCATGCGAGCGGTCTACTTCGTTAGCGATTTATTCATGGAAATACATATTTGCGGACGTGCGATTGAAAATAAAAAATCGCGGCGCTCTCCATGTGACGGGAGCCTCGGGAGCAAGGGAGCAAGGCTTTCAGTCCCTCCCCTCTCCGTCACGACCGGCACTTTTCTTATCGCGTTTCCCAAAACTCCCCTCCCGCAAGAGATATTGCATCGCAAAACAGGGCCCAATTCAGGAAGCACTTTTATCACCGCTTCACGACCAAATGGAGAAGTATTTTTCACACACTGTATTCAAAGAACCTTAAACTTAATCGGCAAATGCCGGCTGCAAAACGGCCGGTCTCGTCAGAGCTCGGAAGCCAAGCAGGGCCGAGCCTGGAAATGTCGCTTCGGATCCGCGACCGTCCTGCATAACAGGCCTTATAGGCTTTCTGCACAGCTGTGCGGAGGACAGTGCAGGGACATCCTTCGTTGTACTGTACGTGTACATTCCCTGCCTTCATCAAACACGGACAGACCAGCGGCTCGACTCCGCGAATAGAAATAGCTCGTGAGGCCTGGAACCATCAGCACTACCGTGGCAAAGGTGGGTGGGCGCGGTGCTGTCGGTGACTTCACCCCTCGGGTGCCGTGCCCGCCTTAATAGGCGCTCGCTAACATCGCTTGACACAGCAGTCGATGTCGGCGGTCAGAGTCAAGGCGGCATTGTGGAAAAAGCCGCCGATGCTGCAGCCACAACAACGCTTTCTACCATCTTCCACATCGAGCGGTTTCTAGTTGATTTCATTGAACCGGGTGAGAACAGGATGTCGTGTCTTTCGCAAAGGTGACCCGGGGCATTAGTCTGCGAGTAGGTGGCGATGATTACCAATGAGATATAATCCCAAAGGAGTAATTTACTTGGTAATATTCAAAATGTAGCCAATTTGAATCTTGAGGGGATCTTTCACGGCCGCTGTGTGAAGCAGCAGAGGGTGTGCAGTCTCGTTCAGAATCAGAATCTTTATTCACACTGGAGGAATCCGATAAGCTATGAAGCTGATATCCAGGGGTTTTACTGTTGTTACTGCACCCACAGCAATAACCAGGGCGGCCGCTGGATTCGAACCGTGAACGTCTGAAACGAGCGGCGAGCACAGCTCCCAAACGCGGCCTCCAAGACCTGCGCTGAGCGCATCGGATTTCTCCAGGATGAATGAATATTGTGATTCTGCGTTTACGGAGAGTATCCGTGTGTGTTGTCAGAGGCAGAACCAGATCCAGACATTTTCAGTCTCTAAATATCATGCTTTTTAAAAGGGCCCTACAATCACAAAATATACATACACAAACATTCCATGTATTGTTTGCTAAAACATCCATAAAATACCGATGTTTGGGGTTCAAACAGGGGGACGCTTGCCCAAAACGCTTCACCCCCTCCACCCCTATCTGCCACCACTGCTCTGTGTGGGAGCGTGTCTGTACATCGACCTAGGTCGACTCAGCCTCAAATGAGTACCCGGTGTATAAACATTGCCACTCTGGAGACAAAGGTGACCCATCGTGGTTTTAGCCATCCGCCCCCTCCTTGTGCGCCGTGCCGGCCTCCGTAGGTGCCTCTCGCTAACAGCGCTTGCGCCCACAGCCTGTCAAGGCTACACGGGGCATCTTTGTCTTTGTTTAGCGACCACCCCCTCCCACTCCGCGACCTACACTCCCCGCTCATTCAGACAATTTGCGTGACGGCGCCGCGCAGCCTTCATCACCCTCGCTTCCCATCATTGCCGGCCGCGTGCGATGACGACGACGACGACTCCATCCCCTCCGCCCCCCCACCCCGCCCATGACAGAGACGATCGGCGCTGCCAGCCCAGTGGCCGATGGCCCCGGCGCGGCCCCGGCGCGAATCGAAGCGGCGGCCGTCGCCCGCGCTGCGCCCCGCCGGCCGACCGGACGGGGCGTCGTGCCGCGAGGGGCAGCGCCTCCGGGTCCACGACACGGCGACGTCGATATCCCGCGGGTGGCGGAGACGATGTTGTCTTTGTGCGAATTATTTAATTATTTATATTCACGCTAATAATTGCGCACGGCCGTTGTCAACCCGCTGACGGATCAGAGCCGCTCTCCCCGCTCCTTGCCGAGCTCTGTTGGTGGTGGGGCTTCCATGGCTCCCGCCACGCCGCTCATGGCAGGCTCATGCGGTGGAGAGGGTGGCGAGGGGGACCCGTAACCTCCACCGCTGAGAACAGGAGCAGCAGCAGCAGCTGCCAGCGTGGTGCTGGGAGAGCCACCACCTCCTGGTTCCACTCCGAGTCCAGAACTTGGGACATGTTATCGTCGCTTCACCATCACTGGGTCAGACTCCCTGGCGAATGGCATTGTGGGGGGGTGGCCCTCTTATTTATTTTACTATTTTTATTTCACCAGGTAAGGCCCACTCAGCTATGTAGCTCTTTTTCCGAAGCGACATGGCCACAAATGAGAGCTCAACGAAGTGGATTAACGTCCCGTGGAAACTGAGAGCAGCCAAATACTCCCCAGACGCACGTCGATTCTCAACGTGGAGGGAAAACCCAGAGGACCCGGAGACAAATCCACGCGACCAAGGAGAGAACATGTACACTCCAAATATACAGCAGGCGTCAAGGTTGGGATCAAGCCCACGACTTCCTGTACACACCAGGCGAGGTCGGTAATAGTTCAGAGTTTAATACGGCGCTTTGGGGGCCCGTCGTGATACTGTCCATCCCTTGTCCCCCTGCCGCGGTTGGAATCTCGCCCGGAGAGTGTCGGAGTGCAAGTGGACGCGGTAGCTCGAGTGTAGATCAGAGGAATACCTTTGGAATCACGAGCTTACCGAGCTTAATATAGACACAGGGTGGGGGGGGGGGCCTTCTGAGACCGCCACGTCCTGCCTCAGTGATGTTGAAAGCCACGTGGGTGGGAGCCTCATAACCTCGGGAGTGGAAACGCTTAATATTTATAATACAACGGGGAGACCCTGCACAGGCAAAACCCCCGAGCTTGCTTCAGATGTATTTGTTTACTTATTCCAATGAATAGACCTACGCCTACATCTGTCGTGAGGTGTGCAGGGAGGAGGATGCTCATATCTCGGGCCACCTAGGGTAGGGTGTGGCTGAGAGAAAATAAATACATGATAAACACGGGGGCCGCATCAAATAGGAGGTCTCAATGTGTATGCGTCTGCATGCGTCTGTGTGTGCGTGCGTCTGTGTGCACGTGCGTCTGCGTGTGTGTGTGTATATGCGTCTGCGTGTGTGTGTGTGCGTGCAGAGCGGTAGTGTAGTGATTACAAACCCGGCCACCCGAGTTAAATTCCAGCTCATGGCCAACACCAGCAAAGATTATCTGAACCGGTCTTGGGCTTCAACTAGGTCGGCTCAGCCTCAAATGTCTACCTGGTGCGATGTGTAAACATCTCCAATGGGGAGACAAGGCGGCATAACGTGGTGCTGGCCACTCACCCCCCGTGTGCCGTTCCCGGCCTTCACAGGTGCTCGCTAACAACATTTGCCCCAACAGCCTGTTAAGGCTACGGGGGGGGGAGGGATCTTTGTGTGTCTGAGCTGCAAGTGTGTTTTCCTTAAATGGGCTGTGCAGTGCACCGTGTTGTTTGTCTCTTGGCCTTCCTGCGCACAGGCCGCACACACTCCGCACTTTCCCCGGCGCTCGGCAACGCGGCAACGCGGCAACGCGAGCCGCTCGCGACGCGTGCCGATGCCGGCGACGATCAGCGTCGGTGGTGGTGGTGGAGGGGGGGGCCACTGCGGCCACTATCGACAACTCCGCGCACGCTCGAGACTCTGGCCGCGTCATGACGCACGCGGCTCTTTCCCAGCGCTCGAATCACGGCCACCAGAGGAGGGGGTGGGGGGCTGCCGGGCACCCACACTCGGCCGGACGCCGCGAGCCCGGATTCCGCCGGGCAGCGCGGTTAAAGCATTCATCAATCGCCCCGGCACGGGCTCTGTTAAACATTAAACCCCGAATTACCTGCCCATAACTCGGCGGGCCAATCCATCATGCGTGACACAGGGCGCATGACGTACGCTTTGTGGTATAGCCCCAGGGTCATGGGTGAGAGTGGGGGGGACAATGGGCGGGGGGGGAGGAATTGAGAGGTAGGGTGGGGAACAGGGGAGAGCGGTACGTGCATATGCTCGATCCACTGCTGGATGAGGGCCGGGCGAGTCGAGCGTGGGGAGGGGGTCGTCTGACCGTACCTGGCCGTGAGGTGCAACAATTGGGGGGTTTGTAACTCGCTGCCCTCTGCTGACCCCCGTGTAAACAGAACCCACGCCAACCGGGCGTGCATGCCGGTCACCCATCCAAGCACTCTCAGGGCTCAACTCTGCTTAGCTTCTGAGGTCTGATGGTCGGCGTACACTGGGATATGGGGAGGCCGAGCAGCGGCGATTCGATTCAGGATTCGATGATTACCGTATTAGCCCCGTCGTGACTGTCACAGCCTCTAGTGGCAACCCCGTCACGACGACGCGCATTGGATCTGTTTCACCGCTCCATCTCCGCGGTGGCAGGCCTCTCCGACGCGCTTTCTCTTTTGGCCGCCGTGTCCCCGCACCTCCGATTAGCGCGGTGTGACTCGGTCGGGTGCGACAGAAGCTCAACATACACGTAAAACACACGCGTGCCCTTCCGCCGCCGGTCTGTGCCCGGGCTTTACTCGCTACCCACGGTCACCGCGATGCCTCCGATTTGTGTTTGGCCTCCGCTCCGCGTGCTTCTCTCCCCAAGCGTTCAATTCTCTCCACGCTTCTTTGCGCACTCTTCAGCTTTTGTTTCCTTTGCCAGTGTCCGCCCCCCCCCCCCCCCCCGCGCCTTTGATCCGTACGGGTGTCGCAGTTGGCAGCTACGGACACATCTCCCATCAGTCCCAATGGGTCTTCTGTTTCTCATCATCAAATTGAGCCTCTCTCTCCAAATACACCCCACGCTGCCGAGTAAAGTAGTGTGTGTGTCGTGTCGGTTGTTTGGTGATAATGGGGGGCTGGGGGGTAATGGTTACGCGATAGTAGATTATTATCATCATCATCGCATTTACGGATCCTTTGCCAATTCTCTGCGAGACGAAGACCGCCGCACGCCCTGCCGGTTACCGGTTGGCTATACTTCACCACGCTGGTCAGTGGGGGTCGGTGAAGTGACATGGCCAGTTCAGACGCGAGATGAACACTCGCCAGCGATTTGTATTCTCTCTAACCAGGAATTTACCTCGAACCGACCGGGGGGGGGGGGGGGGGGGGGGGGTTCAGTGCGTCGCGCGCTAACCATGGCCCCATCACTCCCTGTACAAAATATAAAAACATTCTTTCTGTATCTGTACCCGGGGAAGGCTCAGTGAGGGTTCAGCTTCAGCCTCACTGAAAGAGGATGGGAACCGGAGAGAGGACCTTGCTCAAGTCGCCAAAAAATACAAGGAGGTGGCGTGCGCAGAAAAGTCTCCCGCGCTTCTCTACGCGAGTTCCTAGAAATGTCTTGCCCACACGGCGTGCTAATCACGGCGCTGCTTCCCACAAACAACAACAACAGTCCGCGAGTACGCTTGGTATCCCGTGCCAGTCTTATAGCGCGGCGCTATCACAGTGGGCAATCTTGCCGTGTATGTGCGATCCCCAATGAGTCAACTTGCCGGAGCCACTCTTGAACAACGCGACGGGCCCCTCTGTGGCGAATGGCGCCACGGGATCGTGAAGCAGGCGAGCGCACGGTGTTTGCCGGTCGCTGCACCCAAACCGGGGAGGCCCGCCAGATTTGAACCATGATCCTCCGCGACAATCGGCAAACGCGCTTCCGCCGGGCCAGACATTGCAGATCTTATTTTTTTCCGTGGGGTTATCCTCGACTTAACTAAAGGTATGCGTGGGAAAATTCGGAGAATAATTGCAAATAGACAGAATAATACGATGAATAATAGCAGCTCCTTTGGATTATAACGTTCACGGGCAATAGGGTCGTGAGTAAGAGGAGGTCTGCTTCGTGCACACTGCATCCTACCCCCGCACCTCCGATGAGCACGTTTGTCTACGTACGATGCGAAAGAAGTTCGACATACAAACATAGAACTTCAGCGGATAATGTGTGGAACGCAATCACCTCTCAAATCAGCGTAGAAGGAATGACATCCAACCAGCATTCGATGGAGAAGAATACAGAAGAATCCTGCAGAGAAACCCACCATAAAAGGGAAACATGAGGCAGATCTGAGTGCCTTCGTTGAATCAATTTAGAGAATCGAGGTGATTTCCTCCGCAAATGAGCATTGAGGGTATCGGTGCTTATCCAGCACTTCACAGCCCCGAGGCGAGGGGGGTGGCGAGGCGGAATCTAACCATGGGGCGACCGCCCTCGACTTCCTTTGATCGACCCCGGGGGGAGATGAGGGGCCGAGTCAACCGCCCCCCCCCCAACCCAAGCCAGGATCTAAGCCGCTGCGCCGTCCGGCCGGCCGGCTCGTCGCCGGGCTCCGCACCAACCTGCTCGGGGCGACGCGTCCGCCGTCCTCGGCCGCTCTCCCTGCCGGAACGCAACCGCGGCGGCGGCGAGCGACCGGTCTCTCCTGGCGTCCCCCAAGAGCCCGGCCGCCGCCACCGCGGCCGCCGTCCTTTCCGGCGGCGCGAAGGTCCGCTCCCGCAACGACGAGGAGCGGGAGGAGGACGAGGCGGAGGAGGACGAGGCGGAGGACTTCCTCCTCTTCTCCGAGCGGCGCCGCGGGTCAGAGGCGTCGCCGGCCCCGTCGCAGGAGGCCGCCCGGTTCGCCCGTGCCGACGCGCTCGCCGATCGGCACGCCCCGGCGTCCGCACGGTTCCAAGGCGGACGCTTCTCGCTCCGTTCCCACCCGACGCCCGCGGCCGCCGGCCCGGGCTCGCCTCCCACGGGCGCCGGGCTCCTGCCCGGGAGCGTCGGCTCGGCCGACGGCACGCGGGCACCGAGCGAGTGTTGCCGCCGCTGCCGCCGCTGCCGCCGCTTGGCCTTCCCGCGCTCGCGATGCTTACGGCCACACTCACACTTAAACTTCGTGTCGACGTCATCGCCCCGACGGTGAATCGCGCGAGTTCTCCCCACCGAGTGGAACGGCGCGCGCCATCCATCGGGCGCCAGCGCGTGCCCCGCCCTGTGCTGCCGCTGCCGCTGCTGCTGCTGGTGGTGCGTCTTCCACTCGCGGCACCAATGCTTCTCCACTCTGGACGGCAAGGGGGAGGTCCCGGAGTCGCGTGCGGCCGGCGGGAGCGGCAGGAGCGGCGGGAGCGGCGGCAGCGGTGGCGCCGCCCGGCCGGCGCCGTGGGGCTGAGCCGCGGGGTATGCCGACGTTCCGAACGAACCGTAGCAGCAGCTCAGGTTCACCCCGCCGGCCGCTGCCGCCGGAACGGCCAAGGAGCCGTACGGCAGGCCGTAGGGGCCGTAGTAAACGCCGCCGGGCACGGAACCGTAGCTCCCGGCGCCGTGCGTCGTCACGGGGACATTGTCGGGCGCCTTGGGAGGCCTCCCGCGCCGCCGCTTCCTGGACCTCGCCTCGTTGTCCACGCGGAACGCCGGCGCCGAACCGTAGTAGCACGGGGACGGCGGCGGCGCACGCGGCGTCGGGAAGTTCACGCAGAAGATGCTGGGCAGGCGGCGGTGGCGCGGCTCGGCGTCACGGCGGCGCAAGCGCCCGCCGATGCGGCACCGCGCCAGCAGCCGCGTCAGCTCCTCCAGCTCGGCCAGAAAGCCGGGGTCCTGCCCTTTCTTGCGCCGCTTGTGCTGCCTCGGCCTCTTCGGCTTGTCCTGCCGGAAAGCGCCGCTCCTGCGCCGGCGTCGCAGACTCTCCCCGAGCGGCGGCGGCGACGGACGGGCCAGGCCGGCGACGGCATCCGAGGGCGACGCGGAAGAAACGAAGGAGCCCGGTCGTCGAGCGGTGCCGCGAGCGGCCACCGCAGTCACGGCGGCCGCGACGACAGCGGCCGACGCCGTGCGGAGGCTGTCCCGCTTGTCGGCGCGCCCCGACACGCTGTTGTTGTCTGTGCCGATGCCGCTGTCGCTGGGGATGGTTTCCTCGCTGTGCGACTCGCTGATGGGAGACGGCGTCGCCTCCTGGTAGGGGGGGGGTGGGGGTGGCAGCAACAGGCGGTCGGTGGGGCACTGCGCTCCTCACACTTGGTCGGGTCAAGAGCGTCATCGATTCGTGCAAAAAAAAACTAAGCAAATTGTGACTCCAAATGGGGAAAGGTCATCGAATTGCGTCCACAGTGGGAATTTAACGTGCGAATTACGAGACAAAAAAAACACCACCGCCGATTCTGTTCGCAATTACTCAACAAAGTCGATCCACTACATTGGTTTCACGTAACGTGCTTACAAAGTGACGGAGAGAAAATGGCTCTGGCCAATTTGTCGCATTACACATTATCTATTGACAACCTACGTAAAGTCAAATAACAACGGCCGGTTCTTAACACCCGGTGGGGCCTGCGCATAACCCTGAGGGTTCCGTTTGCCGGGGATGAGGAGCGCTACCTTGAGCAGGGAGATCTCGGAGCAGTGCGATGGAGACGTGGGGAGCGGCGGCGAGAAATTGGGCCTCTCGCCGGAGAACTTGAGCATGGCCTTGGTCGGCAGGATGCGGCTCGGACGGGGCCCAGGCAGGAGCGACACGGCCGGGTAGCCCCCCGCGTCGCTCGCCGGGCTCTCCAGGCCGCCGCTAAAGCCCGGCGCTTGCGTCGTCGCGGGCGACGGGAGCGAGAACGGCGACGCCGACGCGTGGAAACTTGACGGCGACGACTGAGGATGCGACGAGGATGATGACTGCGGCGGCGGCGGTGGCCTGGGTTGCGGCGCGGCAGCGGCCGTGCCCGGGGCCTCTGACGGCGCCTTCGGTTTCCTGCCCCTCTTCTTGCCGACGTAAATGGTGCCCTTCTTGCTCACGTGAATCTGCTGCCTCTTCTTGACCTTGGGGGGGGCGGTGGCGGCGATGATCGTCGGTCGGTCGGCCTCGCGGCTGACATCGGTAGCGCCGTGCGGGCCGCCCTTCGAGCCGGAGAAGATCTGGCTGAGAATCCTCTCCCTCTTGAGTCCTTTCATTTTGTTGATCTTCTTGAGGAACTTGCGATCGGTCGGCCTCTTGGTGCTCGGTCGGGGCTCGTCGCCGGGGACGGCGCCAGGCCCCCAAGTCCCATCGGCCGGGAGGAGTTCGTCGCTCTCGGTTGTGATTTCTGACGCGGAGAAAATACGAACGCAACCGCGGCCGAACCCATCCGTGCAGCCGAAGGCATCGTCATCTTCGGCGCGAGCGCGACACTTCAATGCGCCGCCACCGCCGCCGAATGAGAGCTCCTTCCTAGGTCGCCCCCGTCTCTTCTTCTCGGGCACCTGCACGGTCAAACTGGACACGTTTGTGTAGAGCGGCGAGAACAGCGCGCTGGGCTGGCGTGGAGAAGAGCCGCATGACGCTTCGTCCGCATCCTTCGCCCCGGGTAGAGCACTCTCCACCTGCAGCTGCTTCATCGCTTCCACACGGAGCATTTTGCTTTTGCGGTTCAAGTGGCCGAGTTTAATCCTGCGCTCATTGAGACTTCTCAGTCTGGATTTTGAGCTCTTCTTGATTTTGTCCGCAGGCTTTTGGGGACCGCCAGGCAACACGGTCGGAATAGAAACCGAGCGCTCCTCCTTCGCGAATGCCGCTTGTCGCGGCTCTCCCGTCGTGCCGTCGCTCGGCGAGACGGCGTTGGAAACGACGGCGGACGCCGACTCCTCGTCGTCGCTTTCCACTGCGTCCGGCGTGGTGGCGGCGGCAGCGGCGGCGGCGACAGCGGCGGCGGCAGCGACTCCGTCTGCTGGTGAACTTCTCGGCGAGCCCCTGGCATCGATGGCGACGGGCGAGCCGCTTCCCTCGCACTCGACCGCTTCCGCAGATGGCGAGACGTGGCGGCTCGCCCCCGCGAGCTTCTTACTTTTCTTGCCCCTCGGCTGCCGCCGCTTCTTCTTCTTGGCCACCACGCGCGGGTCTCCCGGCTCGGGAGACTCCGCCCCCACGGGGTCAAAGGTCGACTCCACGAGCGCAGCCAAGGGGCTCGTGCTTTGAGGGGTCAACCGGGCCGGGGTCTCCCCTTCCTCTGGGCAACTCGTCTCTGACGGCAACGCCGCCGTCGCATTCTCTACGGCTTCCACCATCGCCGTCGGGCCGCACGCGAGAATCTCCGCTTCGGGGCACGGAGGAGCAACGTCCCCTCCGACTCCCGCTAGCGGCTTGCCCTCCAGGACGTTCTCCAGGCTGCGTTCGAACTCCTCGTAGCCGCAGTCGCGCGCCGGGCGACGGTCCTCGTACAGAAACGAATCCGCAGATTGGTCCGCGACTGAGGCGTTGTCCTCCAGCGAGCCGACAGGGCAACGAGGGCTCAGGTAGAGCGGCGAGGAGAGCGGGCTTGCCGCCGACACGGAACCCGAGAACGTGGAGGCGCACGGGGAGACGCAGAAATCCTCCGGAGCGTACACGACACCCCGCTCCACCAGCCCAACATCCCCCACGTCGTCCCCGACTCCCAGGGCGGCCAGGTCGGCCGGAACGCAACCCGACTCCTCCTCGTCGTTCTCCAGGAAGCCCCCGAGCCCCTCCCCCTCCTCGTCGTCGTCGTCGTTGTTGTTGTTGTTGCCTTGCCGCCGGGCGGTGGGCCGGAAGTGGCTGGCGAACTCCTCCATCTCGCCGATGTCCTCGTCCAGGCGCAGCTCGGATGGATCGAGCGTGCTGCAGTCGTCCGTCGACTCGGAGGCCACGGCGCCGTAGGCCTTGCTGTGGAAGCCATTGTTGATGATGTCGGCGCTCAGCTCGATGGAGCCCAGCTTGTCCTCGGAGGCGGCGCCCTCCTCCTCCTCCTCGTCGGCGCCGCCGTCCTCGCCGGCGAATGCCGAGCAGCGGTCGGCCGCCGCCGCGCCCAGGTCGGCGGGCGACACGGACGGCACGCAGCCAAACTCTCGCTGGAAGTATTCGTCCATCGCCCGCTGCCTGCCACCATCACCTGGCGCCGCGCCGCTCGCTCTTCTGGACCTCGCTGTTCTGCTCCTCTCGCCACCGGCGCCGGCGCTCGGCCGGAAGGTGGCGGTCGCCGATGCCGCCCTCACGGCGCCGAATGCCGCCGAGTCGTCATCTGCGCCCGCCTCGCTCCCCGGGGCGCCCCCTCTCACCGCCGGGGAGAAGCCACCTTGCGGTTTGTCCACCGCCCGGCTCAGCGGCTCTTCCGCAGCGACACCTCCCACGCCTGGCCCCTGCTGCTCTCTGCGGATGTCCTCCACCTCCTCCACCTCCTCCACCTCCTCCTGCTGCTGCTGCTGTTGTCGTGAGACGTGGAGGCACTGCAGCCTGGTCTCCTCGGCCTGCTGCTTGATGATGATGTTGTGGTGGTTGTTGTGGTTATTGTGAAACTGGTGATCGTTCTGTTGAAGAAGAGACAACAACAAAATGTAAAGTTTAATGTGCGTCATCATCATCATCCTCAGCCACGGGCAATCCACTGCTGGATGAAGGCCTCCCGCCACGAACGATGCGGCACCTGCAACACGAGCCGTTTCCACCGCTGCTGCATCTCCCCTGTGGAGCTCTCTCGGACGCGTCCCACTCCTCATCATAGAATGCCTTTAACTGTCGCAAAACTACAAACAAAACTACGAAGGTTTACGAAGTAAAAATCTCATTCATCACAAGAGCGTGTTCATGTTACATCCGTGAGAATCTGGAATTTACAGAAAACAATTCAGGAAATTAATCCGGAAACGTTATTTGCCGACCACAACAGGCAAAGATCCCCCATATAGCCTTAACAGACCGTTGGGGCAAGTGTTGTTAGCAAGTGCTGTTAGTAAGCACCAACCACACACACAAACGCAGCGCCGTTCGTAAACGCCATGAGTGAAACGTACAGTGCGATTTTCATTATTAACATTTTTACGGAAATGATATTGCCCTGGGTCCGTTATCTGTGCACGAGCACGGCCGCGAGATAGACTGAGTCAGGGCTCGTCCACGCCTCCTATCACATTGTTGCACACGATACAATTATGCGGGTTAATTTAAATAGATACCCTCTCGCACACGGTAATAAACCTATAGGCCATGTTCAACGGTGATTAGACCACGCATCAAGAGGAGGGGGGGGTTTACATCGCTTAAGAAAAAACACAGCACAGAAAGCACTGAATAGCGGCCTAAACAAAGCAGTGTGTCCTCTGCCCCCCACCCCCCTCTTCCCGAAATGCTGCAGAACGGTCATTATTAACATTCAGACGAGGCTGGCCTGGCCTGGCAAAGCATGAAAGGGTTTTGGCAGTCGCCCAGATTCAGGTCGTGCAGAGCCGCGCAAGAAGACAGTGGCACACTCGCGCACGTGCGAACACACAAACACACACACAAACACACACACACAAACACACACACACAAACACACACACAAACACGCAAACACACACACACACAAACACACACACAAACACACACACAACACACACACAAACACACACACAAACGCACACAAACGCACACACACACACAAACACACACAAACACACACACACACAAACACACACAACCACACACAAACGCACACACACACACAAACACACACACAAACACACACACAAACACACACACAAACACAAACACACACGCACAAACACACACGCACAAACACACACACAAACACACACACACAAACACACACACACAAACACACACACAAACACACACAAACGCACACGCACAAACGCACACAAACGCACACGAACGCACACACAAACACACACAAACACACAAACACACACACACAAAGACAAAGGTCCCCCCGTGTAGCCTTAACAGACTGTTGGGGCAAGTGTTGTTAAGCGAGCACCTATGAAGGCCGGCACGGCACGCGATGTTAACACGTCGTGCCAGGTATTCATTTGAGGTTGAGTCGACCTAGAGGACGCTCAGGACCGGTTCAGATAATCGTCACCGATGTGAACTCGGGTCGCCGGGTTCGTTGCGCGGCGCGCTAACCGCTACACCACCGCTCCTCACACACACAAGCACAGTCGCACACACGCGCGCGCGTGCACACACACGCGCGTGCACACACACACCATAGCACGTGCATGCCGCATGTGTGTGCGCGTGTGCGCCACACACTCACAATTCCGCGATTGGCGGAATTGGGCGTTCTGCGCCCTTGCGCCCGTGTGTACACGTGTGTGTACACGTGTGTGTACACGCGCGTGTGTGTGTGTGTAGACGTGCTGGTGTGTACACGCGTGTGTGTGTAGACGTGCTACCAGCACGCGTGTGTAGTAGACGTGTGTGGGTCACGGCCGTGTTGAGTCTGTGTGTGGGTCACGGCCGTGTTGAGTCTGTGTGTGGGTCACGGCCGTGTTGAGTCTGTGTGTGGGTCACGGCCGTGTTGAGTCTGTGTGTGGGTCACGGCAGTGTTGAGTCTGTGTGTGGGTCACGGCCGGTGGGTAGCCGGGGAAGGTGGGGGGGGGGGTCCCGTCGCATCGCAGACGAGACACGGGGGGAGACGAGACACAGGGTGAGACACAGGGAGAGAGACACAAGGGGAGACACAGGGGAGACGAGACACAGGGTGACACACAGGGAGAGAGACACAGGGGGAGACACAGGGGAGACGAGACACAGGGTGAGACACAGGGAGACACAGGGGGGAGACGAGACACAGGGTGAGACACAGGGGAGACGAGACACAGGGTGAGACACAGGGAGAGAGACACAGGGGAGACACAGGGGAGACGAGACACAGGGTGAGACACAGGGAGACACAGGGGGGAGACGAGACACAGGGTGAGACACAGGGGAGACGAGACACAGGGTGAGACACAGGGAGAGAGACACAGGGGAGACACAGGGGAGACGAGACACAGGGTGAGACACAGGGAGAGAGACAGGGGAGACACAGGGGGGAGACGAGACACAGGGTGAGACACAGGGAGAGAGACAGGGGAGACACGGGGGAGACGAGACACAGGGTGAGACACAGGGGAGACGAGACACAGGGTGAGACACAGGGAGACACAGGGGGGAGACGAGACACAGGGTGAGACACAGGGTGAGAGACACAGGGTGAGAGACACAGGGGAGACGAGACACAGGGTGAGACACAGGGGAGACACAGGGGGAGACGAGACACAGGGTGAGACACAGGGTGAGAGACACAGGGTGAGAGACACAGGGGAGACGAGACACAGGGTGAGACACAGGGAGAGAGACACAGGGGAGACACAGGGGGGAGACGAGACACAGGGTGAGACACAGGGAGAGAGACACAGGGGAGACACAGGGGAGACGAGACACAGGGTGAGACACAGGGGAGACGAGACACAGGGTGAGACACAGGGAGACACAGGGGGGAGACGAGACACAGGGTGAGACACAGGGGAGACGAGACACAGGGTGAGACACAGGGAGAGAGACACAGGGGAGACACAGGGGAGACGAGACACAGGGTGAGACACAGGGGAGACACAGGGGGGAGACGAGACACAGGGTGAGACACAGGGAGAGAGACACAGGGGAGACACAGGGGGGAGACGAGACACAGGGTGAGACACAGGGTGAGAGACACAGGGTGAGAGACACAGGGGAGACGAGACACAGGGTGAGACACAGGGGAGACGAGACACGGGGGGGGGGGGGGACGAGGAGGCCCTCTAGACGTAGCGTGGCGCTGTCGGTGGAGAAAGCTGAGACGCGTCCACGCAGTCAGAGACCGCCACCCGACACGGAGCATTGCGTTACGCACGAAAATCCCCCCCCCCCCACTCTGGCCCGGGACAGGCTGTTGTGACGAAACATCGCACGAGTGTTGGGTCAGGAGGAGAGGCGAAGATGCGTTTTGTTAAACCCAAAGGCCTCGCGTTCGTTCTTACATATCGAAGCCGCGTGCCGCGTGCGCGATGCTGGAGTCTGCCCCGTCCCGCCCTGCCACCACCACAGCGGCTGACGAGGGGTCGTCTGTCCGCCCCGAGCCGGGGGGTCCAGGCCCAGCGCGCTCACGGGCCCCCTTCATGAAGCGACTCGACGGCCTCTCCGTGTCCCCCAGCGCCGCCACTCCCTCGCCCGCGGCAAAGTAAATAACTCGTAAAAGTGAAACGGCGTTAAATATTGGCAGGCGGGAGGGCATTACGAATGCGGGCGGATTAAAAAAAAACCCTCGCTGAACACACACTTACCTGTACATGTGCACTATGCCAACATAACATGTACACACATACACACACACACGTGTGTGTGTGTAACGGTTAGAGCTACACTACACACACGTGTGTGTGTGTAGTGTGCCGGTTAGAGCTACACTACACACACACGTGTGTGTGTGTAGTGTAGCTACACACGTGTGTGTAGTTAGCGCTGCGCTGCGGTGACCCGAGTTTGATTACCGCTAGCGGCCAACAGCAGTGACGATGATATGAACTGGTCACGGGGCTCCCCTAGGTCGACTCAGCCTCAAATGAGTACCTGGGGTGGTGCGTAAACATCACCACTGGGGAGACAAAGGCGGCCAGGCGCGGTGTTGGCCACCCACCCCCTCGTGTGCGGTGGCGGCCTTCACAGGTGCTCGCGAGCAAGCACTTGCCCCTACAGTCTGCTCAGGCTATACGGGGGATCTTTGCGACCTGTGGCTCTGTGGCCTCTCCTCCTCCTCCTCCTCAGGCGGACTCCACTCAAGTCGTCAAGTCGTTGCACGGGGGGGGGGCACTTTCACGGTCAGCCGACTTGGCACTCGTGGGGTGCGTGAAACAATGATGACGATGATGACGACGACGTCAATGTATCTATTTGTATCTCTCCAGGTGAGGCCCACTGAGCTACGTAGCTCTTTTTCAGAAGCGACCTGGCCACAAATGAGAGCTCAACGAAGTGGCTTGTCACGTGCAAATGGATAGCAGCCAAATGCTCTAAATGAACGTTAATTATAAATGTGCAGGAAAAACTGAGAAAATGCCACGGGGAGAGAGACACGCAAACTCCAAATATACAGCAGGCGTCAGGGTCGGGATCGGGATCGAACCCAGGACCTCCATGTGTATCAGGCGAGATAGTTAACATCTCGCCACCGTGATGAGTAGAACGATGATGATCCTGCAGACGACAAATAAGCCAGTGGTGGCGAAGATTTTGATGATGACGATGATTACATTTATTATGGGGTCAATGATCATGATGACAATGATCCTTTTGATGATGTTATTGACTATAATGACGTTACTGATTACTACTGTCATCATGGCATTTACGGTAAGTGACGATGTTTAGAACCAGCGGGCCTAGACCCGATATTTTATGTGTTGGTACTACGCAAGTGGCGGCATCACCTCTCAATATTTTACAATTACCATAGTCACTGAGAAACTCATTCCAACGGACAAGTCCATCACAAACTCGGAAACCG